AACAGAGGAAGAGGAAGGCCTCCTCTGCGTTGGAAAGACCAGGTGGAGAAGGACTTGGCTTCACTTGGCATTTTCAATTGGCGTCAGTTAGCACAGAAGAGAAATGACTGGCGTGCTGTTTTGGACTCGGCCAAAATCGCTTAGGCGGTTACAGCGCCAAATAAGAAGAAGAAGATACGCAGAGTTGATTGGACAAAGCTCGTACGGATAGTCTCCACTTATAGGGAAGTCTACAGAATACTTGGACCTAAAGAACTGAGCAAACATGTTGCCAATGAGTTGGCTGTCGCTAGACACAGTGTTGCGATAATGAATAGCGTACGGAAAACCATGTACTTTACGCTTTGAATTTACGAAACCATAAAATGATTTCGGATTGTTAATTAAATTCTTCTTAATTTTACATAAATATGAATTATAACATTTCTTATTTAATGCAAAGTAGCTATGCCGCACTGTGTAAGCCCGTTCTTTTATACAGTTTAAAAGAATGTGACTTTTTATTTTTCAATTTTTTAAGCTCTTTAGTGAAACATTATTGTATTGATTCTTCATGAACAATATTACGTTTTGGCACATACTTTCGAAACAAATTGAAAACAGTATCATTAAAGTGCTCAACGCTACGCTCCACGTCATCTCTATAACGCTCATTGCGTACTGCCACAAAAGTCGGTTTTCAGCGAGCCCGAAAGAATATTTGGTAAGCCGAGGAATGTTGAACCACTGCACAGATATATGACCTGCAGGGCCACGCTGCACTCGGGCGCAACGCGAGTTATGATGGATCGAGGATTGGGAGTTTAAGAGGGAAGCGAGGTATATTTTCCGAAATAAAGAGTGAGTGTGAATATCTTTAAAGTTTGATTCCCAGCTGGTAAAGATAACGGTAGTAATATCGATAACGGTACCATGACAACGAAATAGCTTATGATAGGCAAGCAAAGGCAACAAAAACTTTATCTTTTAATTTTATTTTTCAATACCGATTTCTTACAGGTTAGATAAGCACCGCAAAATTGGTTGAAAAAGCTAAAATTATACCAGCATAAATTTTTGAATGACATATTACTGATATTCTACTACATTCAACCTAAGTACGAGCACTTCGAAATGCATATCAACACCACGCCAAGATACATAGTTTTGTAGCATTTGAAGCAACAGACAATGCATTATTTTTATTGCATGTATGTATGTACATATTTATATGTGCATATGTATAAGTAAGTCTTTGAATTAACGGTGGTGGTTGCTCACAAATTTTTGCTTAGTTACCGAAATTTTGTTTATTTCCGGAATATTTTCTGCCATTTACATATGAATAATATGCGAGGCAGACTGTAAAAGTGGGCGTTGGAGCTAATTTTGGTACATATGTGTATGTGCGTTTCAAAATTCGTAACAACTTGCACTAGTACTTGTCAATAGCTATAATTTTACGTATAAGTATTTCTCGATTTATGTCCGATAAAGTATTAATGACTGCAGATTTAATTGATTGAGAGCGTCGCATGCATCATAAAATAAAATGTAACAAAGAGAAACATTGTTTTTGCAACTGAATTAAGCCATTAGGAAACATTCTAAAGAAACCCTTCTACATACATATATTTTCGTTCTTATGAAATTCGTTCTTCAACTCCACTTAACACCCACCTCCGCCACAATGAATCAATTACATTAATTTGAGGCATATTTATTCGCTGTTTTCACTTGAAAGGTTAGCAAAATGGAAAATGCATGCCAATATTTAGGTAATCACAATCAGTTGACCTTCAACATTGCTGCTGCAATTAGGGGCGAGTGCAAAAGCGGCGGTCAAGTAAGTGAAAGTTACACGCCACATAGGTATTAGAAGAAATTTGAAAACGCAAAAGAAAGTGCAGGACGTGCAACAGGAAATTTCATGTAGTCACATATTGGCTGCACGTGTGAGTTGGGAGTGGAGTGCAGTGGCATTGCATGCAGTTGACTGACGCTTTCTTGAGCAAACCGCCGTTTGCCTGCTCGCTCAAAGTGGCTCACACCTCGCTGACGACATGTGCTGCAATGCGACTTGACCTTAACGGTTATAAGCGTGCAGGAATTTTTACTTCGGGCGCACCATCTACATGCACGTGTGAGTTTTCTGATATACGTACATACATACATATGTACTTATATGCTGCCTATTTTAATTAAAAAGTTGGTTAAGGTTTATATAATCAGTCAAAATATATTTGCATAGGCGTGAGCGTAAATTTATGCAGCGCCATTGCACTGATTTCTCAACACGCTATTAAATATTTTCCTATTTTCATAAAAAAGCGCCATATTTTCACAAAAGCTCACACTTTTTTTTTTTTTAGAATACTTACACCACCCGTAGAGTAGGGATCCACGCCGCGTTTGTTAAGCAACAACTTGACAACATCCTCACGCGAGTACATGGAAGCTATGTGTAACGCATTGTAGTTGTCCTGCAATTAAAAGTGAAAAGATGAAAAACGATAAGTGTGAAAGAATGTAGTTGAGTTTCGTAAGTGAAAGTACATAAAAATATCAGTTTCACTTTCAATTAGCTAATAGATTGGTTATAAGTCGAAAATATGTTTTACTTAATAACGCCGCAGCATACACTCTCAATTTATAGTCCATAAACAACATTTTGCAGTTCAATAAGCTTTTAAATTTTGTTGTGGAGCAAGTATCAGCACGCTCATTTGAGGACACTTTTATCCACCGTCAAATTGTATTGGCTATTTTAATGGGCGTAGCAATAGCACACGCCTTCGCAAAATCTTCCTCTTACTTATTTTACTAACATTTACGACATGCAACGAATGCATAAAATTTGACCCTGACTTTCTTTCTTTTTTTTTTTTGCGCACAAATTTACTACCGGATATTTAGCGGCGCAATTTTCGGGAGGAACAACTAATGGATTCCTCTAATGTATTTCATAATTCATATTGTAAGCGCCCATTTATGTGTGTGGTTTGCTGGTGTGCTTTACTTTGTAGAAGTTTAAACTGTTTTCCCAAGAAATTGTAAATATTTTTCTTTGTTGGCACCTGTGGCGTATGAGTGACATGTAACTCGAGTAAGCGACTGGCGGCGGGGCTTTGCGCCTATAGAGTATTCGAAGAGCTTTTTATGCATAAAACACTACACCTACATATATTTCATGAGCAAAATACCACATACCATTAGATTTCATTGTTTTTTTTTCTAGCCATTAGTGTCATTTTAAATTTATTAAGCTTTCTAGAAACAGTATAAGTATAGTGCTAAAAAATAAAATGATTAATTGTTTTAATAGATTTGTGACTGACAGCGTAATCGAAGTAAAACTGACGCCGGTAATATAAACGAATAATTGCATTTACTGAAAACAACACATGCTTATTTTGGTTATTTTTATAAGGAGTTGTAACGTATGACGCACGTCAAGGCTGCCAACTATACTTAGCTGCGAAGTGCCATATTGAGGTTAAAAAGTGCCTAAATGTGCCAAATAGAAAAATAAGAGTGCCAACAAGGTGTCATTTATTTTTAGTTCTTCCTATTTAAAATTAGAAACACATTAATGATTTTTTTATGGTTCCCCCATTTAATTATTTTGGGGACTTTGGGGACCTATAAAAAATAGTTAGTATTAAAAAATTGTTAAGTAAACAATTAGGTATTATTCTTTGAAGTCTCCTAAAGAGAAAAAGAGTTTGCAAATTGAAAAATATTGACTTTTAAGGAATTTATCTCTATTTCCCTCAAAATGACACACATTTCTGACTTTTTTACCTTTTTCTTAACATGTGTAAAATTACGCAAATTTCGATACCTCTTGCGATAGTGTAGCTCAAAAATAATTTTTGACGGGACACCCTAATTTGTATACCTTCAGAAAATACTAGCAAAGTCTGGGCTGGTTTGGATTGTAATAAGATTTTCTCAGAGTGTAATCAAAAAATACAAAACACTTAAAATATGCAAGAGAATATTCTTAAATTTATGACATATATATATATTATATAGGCACAAAAAGTCCTACATGCCCATTACACTTAATGAATGCTATTTTTCGCGAAAAATTAAACATCTGATGACCATTCAAATTAACTGCAAAAGTGTCTCCAGAAATAAAGTTTCGGCAATCATAGTCAAATAATGCATAACAGGGGAAAGGGCCTGATAAATATTGAAAAAATATGTGCTTACTCTTTCTTTGGAACCATCGCTAAGATCACTTAAAGTGCCCTAAATTGGACTCAATTAATACGTGTAAACAAAAGTAATTTCCCATAGCTTAAAGTCTTATAACGCATACTAGTCAATATTTCATTTAAATAATTTTTGAACTTATCGGGAAAGGTGCTGAAGGATTCACAATTTATTAATATATATAAGTGATGAAATTTTCTATTGGCTAACCCTTAATGTATTGTTACTGTTTAATACTATTATTCTTATTGCTGGCTGATAATGACTAATTTTACTATCGAGCAGACCTAATGCGTAAAAAACGATCAAATAGGAAGTTGCATGCAGTATATGATCAAAACCCCTTTTAATATCAATCTTTTATTTCACAATATGAGTTATTACTTCATACCGTACAATTTCGATACAAATTTTATATAATGGACGCATTGTTTTAAAAAATGTTACAAATCATAAATTATACGCATATACACAAATAAGTACCTACATACATATGTATGTACACATATTTGGAAGATTTCCCAACGAATACTTGTTTGTGTGCTTCATGGGTCATTGAACCTTTTCAATTTCCCGCAAAAATTTCGATACTCGCTCCAACACCTACACTACTATTTTACCGCCGTTAGCAGCTCCACACTACGCTTTGCTACGCCTTAAAGTAGGTCAAAGCAATGCAAACATTTTGCGCCCTTTGAGAGAAGTTGGAAAATTTTGCGCTTCCGTTGTTTTGTTTCCGGTGGCTTTGCGCCGCCATTAGATGTGTATGTGTATGCAGATGTAAATGTGTGTAGATGTATATATATGTACACAAATATGTAGATATATATACTGGGGTGCTTTTTTTGCGACTATTGTTTTATTCACTCCTACCTCGAAATTTTGTGGAAAACATCTAAAAAAACACCCTGAAAATTTTAACCCTCAATATTAACATTAAGTACTCGCCCAAGGTGTGCAAAGATTTCCCATATAAAGTACACGTAAACTTAGATTTTTTTTTTTCAAAACTCTACAGCTCAGAGGCGTTTTATGGTATAATTATGGTCAATCATGGATTTTCTTCAGAATTTAATGCTCTACAAAATGTCCATGGCGGCGTAACTCTGACTCCCACCAGCGAGTTAGTACGGGTCTCCAAACCCAATATATTGATTAAATTTCTGTTTTTTTGCCCCTATCTCGTAGATAAAAAAACCTACAGAAAAATTGCGAATGACAAATTTGTGGGCCATTCAATTTTATATCAAAAATTTTGAAAAAAAAATCTAAGTTTACTGTATTTTATATGAGAAAACCCTGCACGCCTTGGGCGAGTACTTAATGTTAATATTAAGGGTCCAAATTTTCAGGGAGTTTTCCACAAAATTTCGAGGTAGGAGTAAAAAAAATAAACAATAGGCGCAAAAAGCACCCTAGTATATACATTAGTTTGGTACTTCAATGTAGGAAGCAAATTTGTACATCAGATTTCCTACGTCGGTGTTTCCGATTAAAGTCGGTTAAGGCGTGTCGCACAGGGATCAAAGTTCAGATTTCCCTATGAAGACGTCATAACCGACGCCAATCGGGACCAAAATTTCCATATGATATTTGTGACCGTGGTATTACTGATTGAGGAAATGAGATTTAAAAAAAATCGTTCATTAGATTTTAGGGACCACCCCAATATTTATATTCATATTTGTATATGTAAATATGTATTTTTATCTAGCGTAAAATTGTGCATATAGTTATTTATCAAGTGTTGTTGGTGCCAAGCCATGACGACCTTTGTTTTAAACTTTGCGCCTTAGCGAGACTTTGCGAAGTTGCATAAAAGCCATTTCATTATTGCCCTATTGGCAGGGGAAAACTTAGAAATACCAAGGAAGCGAGAATAACGATGTATGGACGTGTATTTAATCTTTGCAAGAAATGCGGTATTTGGTTGGTTGTCACAAGTGAAATATTATCTGTCTGCTATCGAAAATATTGCATCGTTTGTTTTTGTGGCAGTTTAAATTTACATATGTAAATCTAAGGTTGAAAGAGAAACTAACAAGGTATGAGTAAGTACAACTTTTCTTCAAAAAAGCTCCTTCTGACAATTTTAACATGGCGGTTTTCCTTCCCAGGATGCGACTGTGCGCTGGACTTGGAATTCTCTACATAAAATATCCAATCAAATGAAAATACCAAAGGAGCCTCAGATAGTGATATGGTAAATAGCGACCTACATAGGCCGCGCGTTTGACGAAAATGAACCCAGAGCAAGGTGAACATTTTAAGCATTTAATTCTTTAAATGTTATGAAATACAGTTCAACTATTTGCGCATTCGTTTATGGTAGGAAATCCTGAAAACCCGGTGATGGCACACGACAACAGATCGGTCTGTTCTGTGCCGTAGCGGGAATGAAGTTTGATTCCCATATTTAACGCGTGTCTCATAAACAGAACAGCTACAATTGAGCTCATCAGCTGTAATAACGGAACATTAATCAGTTTTAGATATATATACTACTTTTTTGCAGTTTTTTTCAATAACAAAAGGCCGGTACGAGTTTACAATGTGGTTTGAATGTTGATTTAAGTTATGAAGTAATCAGTGAAAGGTGTCATGCCGGGGACCGAAGCTAACAGTTATTGAAGTGAAACTTCTTTAGCGGCGGATGGTTGGTTGGGAGTAAATTGGCAAAATCAACGGAAATTGCACACGGTAATGGTGCAACGGAAATAGTGCAACGGAAATGTTTGGGGCTGAAGCAACTGCTTCTTGTGTGTATGCATATGGTATTAATTTAACAAAAATTTGCTATTAAAAGGTTAAAGAATAACACTTAGAAAAAGACCAATACAAGAATGAAAGTAAAGGTGACTACGTACATATATAGATAAAGAAAAGTATAAAGGCAACGGTAAAAATAAAAACAAAGATGCGTAAAGATAAAGAAAAAATGAAGACCAAGGTAAATTTAAACAATTTACTTATACATATATATAAGGGCAAAGGTGAAGGGGAATATGTAAATGAAGGAAATGATAAACATAAAAGTAAAGACAAAGAGGAGGATAAGGGTACCGACAAAAGTAAAGATGAAGATAGGTGAAGAAAGATTAAAATAAAGGTAATTAAAGAGGAAGTGATATAGAGAGACACAGAGTCTCAATCTGGGAACTATTTTGGGATTTTAGAAATTTTATCGATAAATAATATAATCAATTTTGCTATAGATATTTTCGGTACTTATCGATAAAATAATCGATATTTTTATCGA